TTGATAAGAGAAATCCTAAATATTTATTATGGGTCAAACTTGTGCCAGATGTATTATATATATTCTCAATTCCAATTTTCTTCACAACCTATTGAATGTATATATTGTTATTTACATAATACCAGTAAATAAGCTTATTTTTTTATCAATAATAAAGGTTGTTTATTTCTAATGACTATACTATGTTTTTATCTGGGATACTTTCTGTTAATGGTGAGGTTGCTCGGAGTCTGAATTTGTAATTAGAAAGTCACTTCATGAATACTATAGTGAATGAAAAGACTATGGATACATTGGAATGATGTTTTGTTAAGAAACGAGGCTCTGTGAACCTATCCCTCCTAGGATGTAGTTTGATACATATTCTATTTTATAACTCTTGGACTTCCCTTTCTCATGCTTCACACTGGCTACCTGGTTTGCTTCACATGGTTTTTATCCAGATATGGTGAGTAAAACTGACTAGATTTCCCCTTACCTCTCTGGGTGTGGCCTCCCAGAGATCACACCATGCTCTCTCTCTCTCTCTTTCTCTCTCTTTCTCTCTCTCTCTCTCTTTTTTTTTTTTTTGGTTAGATTTTTGCTATAGAGCATGTGTGGTGACCAGAGAGACAGAGAGACAGAAAGCAAGAATCATCCCCTAGAGGGATGACCATGCCACAATCCCTTCTCCTCCATCTTCCTCTTGGGATTTTGGACATGTACGCACATGTGCCTGGCATGAGTTTTAAGTCACTGTGTCTGGGACTCAAACCATGGTCGACTATGTGGGAGTCCAGCAATGTAACCATTACTTCATCTGCTGGTCCCCATATCTTAAGTAAGGTTTTGGCTGTTGTTAAAAGTCTTTAAGCAAACCTTTAAAATTTCTAGTTTTACCTGCATGATGACAGATCTCATTCATTTTATGCAAATGATACCACTTTTTCCCTTCTAGAATACAGGCTTACTTATTTTTTTCCAAAATTTTAGCAGAAATTAATATTTTACTTATCACTTACAAGTATCTACCACCTAGATTATTGTGTTAATGTGATCAAATTGTGAAATGGGTTAAACATTGAACCACAGCTCTAAGCAGACCTTAGAAGACCCCCTCCCCCAAGATGTTTCCTATGGGTGAGTGGATGCCTTAGATCAGGAACACTGGGCACATCTCTCCTTTCCTTAATTAAGTCCAGAAACAGCACAGAATAATGTCTTGACCAGTAGTTTAAAAAGTCACAATTATTCCTTGTGTTTAAACACAGTCTTCTTATTTTAACTTCATTTCTTCTTCATGGGTTATTATTTTTCTTTCTGAGGGAGACAGAAGAAGGGGAGTATTCCAGGTTTGTAGAATGATTGAATGAGCAACAAAGCAGAGGCCAGGCAGGTAAACAAACGTTTACCTTTCATGATGGCTTGACTGAATGAACTCTGACCATAAATAAAAGTAATGAGATAAGCTGCAGAGAGTGGCCTTAACATGTAAGGAGATTTTGGCCTGAGTTTTCTACACATAAATTTTCCATCTCACCTTAGTGGTCAGTTGGAACAGGAACAAATCGGTCATTATATCCAAGGAAGAATCAGGAGAACTGAGAGGACAGACCTCAGAGGGGATGTCATTGGAAAAGGAAGACCTCCCAGAGATCATCCAAGCTGCCTTTATTGCTCCACAGGGCAGCGGTTGCAGCCCCGTACCACTCACAAGTCTCTACCACCTAGATTATTGACAATGTGATCAGAACCTCTGGAATACTCTGAAGGATCTCCAGAGGTAGAGGTTGTGAAGGAGAAAGTAGATGTGTAAATGCTCTGAGACACCAGGACACTACAAATTCCAGGCAATGTAAGTAGCAGTTGCAAAGACTCTGGGGTAAAAATGGTGGGTAAGTTCAAGAAATAGAAAGAGGGAGATAAGGCTGAGTTGAAATCGTCAAGGGAAAAATTGAAGGCTATTTTTGTATCAAGCTTGTTCTCATTGTTTCCTGATTAAATACCCTTACATAGAGTTCAGAGACAATCATTCCCTAAGTCTTATTAAGATTAAAATACTGTAGTGCTTTCTCATCTGACTATGAAAAAACTACCTTGACAGTCTTTTGAGGTGGTCAACGGAAATGAGAAAAATGAGTGTTATTAGGTGTGAAGAAGGTATTTCCCTTTTCCTTTGACCTCTGACCACAGCAGCTACCTAGACCAAGGTTTTCAGGGAGCAGCTTATCAAACCAGGGGAGGTGGCTTGCTCATTAGGACATTCAGTTCACCAACACCAGTGATAACTTCTTCTCTCTGTTCGCTGTTTATTTAAGTGTCACATGTATAGCCTCACTGATAAATGTGTTTTCATTCTAAGATAGATTTCTCCAAAACCTGGCATTAAATTCATTTTACAAACATGAGGATGTAAGGAAAAAGAGAGCAATTTTGAACATAGCCTAATGTTTCTTTGTATATTTTGTGTGTCAGGTGTTAGCAGAATATTCTAGGACCCTTCTTTATCACCCAAAGAGTAGTCAAATCTAAACTTGAGTTTTGATAAAAATGTTGAAAAATGTATCTTGGCCCAAAACAATATTCTATAAAGGTACAAACATCCCAGATGAATCAGGATGAAAATTATACTCTCTTATACTACACATATATGTGATATTATACATATATATATACATATATGTATATATATGTGTGTGTATATATATATGTATATGTATGTATATATATATATATATATAGTTTTCCCAGTAACTCATGTTTTCAAGGGAGGTACCTCTTCAGGTAGAGATTCTTTTCAAGTTCATATTACATAGAGCTTGCGATCCTCAGAAGGTTGTTCTAAAATTTATTTATGAGTAAATGAATAATACATGCTTACTGTAAAAAGGTTTATAGAAATCCAGACAGGGAACAGCAGTTAGTGTAATGGCTATGTTGCTGGACTCTCATGTAGTCGACCGCGGTTTGAGTCCCAGACCCAGTGGCTTAAACTCACACTGGGCATGTGTGCGTGCGTGCCCAAGATCCTGAGAGGAGAAAGGAGGAGAAGGGATTGCGGTGTGGCCATCTCCCCTGGGGGGCGATTTCTCGCTTTCTGTCTCTCTGTCTCTCTCTGTCTGTCTGGCAAGCGCACACCCTATAGTGAAAACTTCTCAAAAAAAAAAAAAAAAGAAAAAGAAAAAAACCAGAGACAGTATTTGTCTGCATTTGTGCATGTATTTGCTGCAGCTTCAAGCTAAAAAGTAATATGAAATTAACTTTGGTGCTTTGCTAATAGGACATTTAGCCTTAATTTAAAAAGTCATTGAAAACACATGAACAGATTCAAGATAATTTCCCATTGCAATCATATGATAATGACATTTATCAATAACTACTTCTGTCCATTTGTAAAATGAGAGCAGAACATTGCAAGACCTAGCATGCTGAGCTGTAACAGATGATATGTACTATTTCCATCCCGGCTCTCATAAATATTCACAGCTTACATGGAGGAGAGGTAGGTATCTTACAAAGGAAATAGAAGGATAGAAAGGAGTTATGTGACAGCAGAAGGATATTTTGCAGTTAATTATCTTCATTCTCTCATGTATTTTGTCAAATTCATGAACTCTTTTGACCCCTTCAGTGGAGTGTTGAGTGATTTTGGGAGAATGAATAAATTCAGTAATTGGGAACTGTTTAGGACCTATAAATAAGGCAGAATTGGATAGCAGAATCTAAAATGTACTCCTCCCTTTAAATTAGATTTTTAAGAAAAACAAGACAGGCATGCAAAAATGTATATGGCGTCACTTCAGTAATTGTATCCATCCCCAATATTGTTCTGCGATCCTTAGAGTCCTGAGATGTCAGTATTCATAGCAAATCAACATATATTTTCCTCATATGTATTTACATGTGTATCTATACACAGATAATCTACCTATCCAAAATGAAAAATAAATATAATATCACGAAAACACTTTATAATTCTTGAAATTATGCATTCTAAAATAAACATGGCTTAATCTTCGATAATTAAAACAGTTTAAACTATCAAGAAAAAATTCTGAAACCCATACAAATAAAAAATTAAAATTCCCCAATAAACCTCTAATCATTTATGATCACTGTTGACATTTTGGTATTTCCTTACAGTCTTTTTTTATGCTTTTGTTGTTGTTGTTTTAGAGCATGTGTGCTTGCCAGAGAATGAGAGGGAGAAAGAGAGAGAGAAAGAGAGGCCATCCCAAAGCAGGGACGGCCATGCTGCAATTCCTTCTCCATTTTCCTCTGGGGAGTCTTGGACACACACACACACACACACACACACACACACACACACTAGTTGTGATTCTCAAACTGCCAGGTCCAGCACTTAAGCCATTTAGTCAGTCATAGGGGATCTAGTCACCTTATCCTCCTCACCACCGGCTGGCCCTCTGTGCATTTTAAACATATTTATTTATTCTTTATTTCATGAGAGAGAGAGAGAGAAAGAGAAAGAGACATACACCCCCAGCAGGGTCCCCCCAGCATGGTTCACCACCAATCTCAGCCAGCCTGGGTTGCAGGCATATGCACAAATGTGCCCACTCAGGGAAGTCCTGGGACATGAACACAAGACATTATCCACATGGGTCCAGCTGTGTTACTGCTGTGCCACCGTCTGGCCTACTATTCTTTTTTAGGGGGGAGGGGTATAATGTAACAGGGGAAACGTTTTTAAAAATATTGAACAAATGCATTTTTATTTCTCTCTCTTTTTAATTACAACTGTGTAGAGTAGAAAGCAAATTGTTTTATTTTATTTTTTGTTTATGGAAGGCCAGGTGTCCTTTTTAAAAATGTTTTTGTATAATTTAATAAATAATCTTTTGATAAATGCAGACATGTAAGATCGGCTATATTCAGAAACATCAGTCATGATGCTTTTTCAGATTGGTGTATCATTTGCAAAAATTACAAGGAGTTACTTGTATGCAACTGCTATCAAATTAGTAAGACAGCATTTATGCATCCATCATTTTCAGGATTGTTGGTATCTTGGGCATATTTCCCCCAAATAACCTTGCCTCCTGGTGTCACAAGGCCCAACTCGCTCACATTCACCTCTATGACAGTACCTTTGGTGAGAACACCCAGAGTTGTATATAGTGGGGATGAGGGATTCTTCTTTACACCCAGTATTGGCAGGCAAAAGGTGGCTTTCAGTTCAGGATGTGTTACGTGGGCCTTCTTAAAACGTAAGCCCATTGGCCTAATGAATCTTCCATATTTAGGTAGTTTTCCAGTAAAGCCATCTCCAACAAAGCAGACTTTTGTAACCATCCTCTTCCATGCCTTCTTTCTCGTTCCTGTTCGAATAACTTTTAATACTTCTGTTTCTCCCTGGGCTCGAACTTTGGGTAGAGGGACTTCCTATTTTCCCACTTTCTCTTTCCATTTTTGTTTAATCATATTGGAAAGTACTTTAGCTTGGGGCTGTCTTTCTCTGTCCAACAGAGAGGCAGGTACTGCTCCTTGTGAAGTCTTTTCATCATTCTTTCGTTCGTTCCTCTTTTCACACATCTTGATAGTCTTTCGTTTGTATTTTATCAGCATGGTGCTGTTTGTGATAGAGCTTAGCCTTCAGACCAATCATTTTTGCCTTCTTTGAACATTCATGAGCCTCCAGACTTTTCTTCATATCTCTTTTTTTCTCATGGTAATCCAAACGGTATCCATAGCATTTAAGATGTAATTCTGTGACATGGTGACAGCTGCAGAATTGCCAGGAGCAGCCTCCTGGACACAAAAAAGTTGTTAACTTTCAGGTCTCAGAGACTAACAAGTGGACCCAATGAGTCCAGAATGGGAAAGCCGGGTGTCATTTATTGACAGCAGTTTGCACACACTTACTTTCTTCTCACAGTAGTTTCTTTCAAAGCACCGACCTTGAGCACTGAAGCAGGGCAGTCTCCAGGGAGGGAGCCAAGAAGGTGGGATGTGATTTTTCCTATTGGAAGTCCTGAGCATCTGGAAAGACAAGGTGTGGGGTGGGGAGGAAGTCTTCCACAAGACTCACATTTCTGTTCAGTCCTCCTCCCTCACTATCCAAGTCCCATCAAATTTTAGGACCCTGGGGACAGCAGAATTAGGCCTGCCCACCTCGAAAGGGGCAGATCCTTCCATCCTTGCTCTGTTCCTACACACCTGCTTTGGCTGCTTGCACAGCTAAAGGGCATCAGCCTATGGTAAGAGGCCACGTCCTTTCTGACTCTCCTGGCACCTCTCTTCTGCTGCGTCCAACAGGAACCACTGGAAAGTTGAGGTCTGCCTCTCTGCTAAGCTGTTGCTGTCATCCTCAACTCTTCAGTAACAACTGGCTGGAGGCTACGCGTTCTCAGGCTGCACAGCACTCCAAGCTCCACACATGCAATGCCCTGCCTTTCTTCTGCTATCGCCAATACCTGGTTTGGGATTCCAACAGGCCCTGAACTGGGACCCAAAGTCATTCTGCATGGGCACTTGGCAGTTTTGGTAGAGAGGTGTATAAAAAAGTAAACGGATGTGAGAATGAAAGGGCTTTATTTGATAGAGTAATTGGAGACCTGAAGTGGTTTTATTTTTATTTTCTTCACTTTTAGCCAATCATGACATTTTACAGTGATTCCTAGGGTTGGGGCAGAAGGAAGTCATGCCAAGAACCACTGGGGGTGTGGCCCAGCCAGCCAGAAGCGGCATAGGCCAGGTGGCCTCACTGGGGCTGCTGAAGGAGTACCCCCGGCTGCCCGCAGACAGGTAGGCAATGTTCCCAGAGCGCAAGAGCAGGTGCAATGTCCGTCGCAGCGTCCAGCTTGCGCAGTTCAGTAAGAGTGGTGCCTGCAG